TGTGGTGTTGTTATGGCTCGTGTGGTGTTGTTATAGGCTCGTGTGGTGTTGTTATGGCTCGTGGTGTTGTTATGGCTCGTGTGGTGTTGTTATGGCTCGTGGTGTTGTTATGGCTCGTGTGGTGTTGTTATGGCTATGACGCTGGGAGGGAGGTGTAGGGACCATCTGTGAGGCAGGAGGGGAGGTAGGGACCATCTGTGAGCAGGGTGGGAGGTAGGGACCATCTGTGGAGGCAGGAGGGAGTGTGAGACCATCTGTGAGGCAGGAGGGGGAGGTAGGGACCATCTGTGAGGCAGAAGGGGGTGGTAGGGACCATCTGTGAGGCAGGAGGGGAGGGACCATCTGTGAGGCAGGAGGGGTGGTAGGGACCATCTGTGAGGCAGGAGGGGGAGGTAGGGACCATCTGTGAGGCAGAAGGGGGAGGTAGGGACCATCTGTGAGGCAGGAGGGGGAGGTAGGGACCATCTGTGAGGCAGGAGGGGAGGTAGGACCATCTGTGAGGCAGGAGGGAGGTAGGGACCATCTGTGAGGCAGGGAGGGAGGTAGGGACCATCTGTGAGGCAGGAGGGAGGTAGGGACCATCTGTGAGGCAGGAGGGGGAGGGGACCATCTGTGAGGCAGGAGGGAGGTAGGGACCATCTGTGGAGGCAGGAGGGGAGGTAGGGACCATCTGTGAGGCAGGAGGGGGAGGTAGGGACCATCTGTGAGGCAGGAGGGGGGAGGTAGTGACCATCTGTGAGGCAGGAGGGGAGGTAGGGACCATCTGTGAGGCAGGAGGGGAGGTAGGGACCATCTGGAGGCAGGAGTGGTGGGGACCATCTGTGAGGCAGGAGTGGGAGGTAGGGACCATCTGGAGGCAGGAGGGGTGGGGACCATCTGTGAGGCAGAGGGGGAGGTAATCATCTGTGAGGCAGGAGGGGAGGTAGGGACCATCTGTGAGGCAGGAGGGGGTGGTAGGACCATCTGTGAGGCAGAAGGGGAGGTAGGGACCATCTGTGAGGCAGGAGGGGAGGTAGGGACCATCTGTGAGGCAGGAGGGAGGTAGGGACCATCTGTGAGGCAGGAGGGGGAGGTGGGACCATCTGAGGCAGGGAGTGGGAGGTAGGGACCATCTGTGAGGCAGGAGGGGGAGGTAGGGACCATCTGTGAGGCAGGAGGGGGAGGTAGGGACCATCTGTGAGGCAGGAGGGGAGGTAGGGACCATCTGTGAGGCAGGAGGGGAGGTAGGGACCATCTGTGAGGCAGGAGGGGAGGTAGTAACCATCTGTGAGGCAGGGAGGGGAGGTAGGACCATCTGTGAGGCAGGAGGGGGAGGTAGTGACCATCTGTGAGGCAGGAGGGGAGGTAGTGACCATCTGTGAGGCAGGAGGGGAGGTAGGGACCATCTGTGAGGGCAGGAGGGGTAGTGACCATAGCAATACGTGTAACTGAACTTGAAGTACATTGA